AAGAACACATATGTAATGTTTAGAGATGTATGTTCAGGAAAAATGAGAGAAATAAGTGTATAGAAAGATGATGAACGACAAACTTGATGAAGTTTTTCTCCGGTGGAGAGGTGGCAATTTCCCGGTGAAAGTTGACTCCGAGCAAATTACGGGCCCTTCCTCTAGCGCCAAACTGTTGATGTCAAAAATCGGACGGTCAACTGTTAAATAAGAGTCGAATTACTTGTATGAAATTGAAGAACAATATGATGAAAAATGTGTGTTTTATTGTATTCTTTGGAGAGTATTTTTACTCTCTCCCTCTTTCTGTTTTGTAGAGAGAAAAAAAATAAAATGAGGAAGCCCCCTCTCTCCTCTCTCTTCTCACATATATATACATGGCCCATTTTGCAAGTGGGCTAATAAAAAATGGTTCACAATTATATAATGTGAAATAATTATCGTGGGGACCCGGTTATGACTTCTGACGGCTTCGATCGGCAGCTCCTGACTAATCAGTCTCGAAAACCTGTTTGTGTATTCATGTATTTTCGGCTCCTTGGTTATCGGGTCGCTCTTTATTATATTACTTACCATTTATTTAATATGAGCCAAATTGGGTATCAACAATATATTAAATATATAAAAAAAAAAAAATTCTGGAAACCGTATTCCTTGAATACGTTCTGCAATTAATTCATGCAGAACCGTATTCAAGGAATACGTTTTATATGTTAAATATATAAAAAAAACTTCTTCTTCTCTTCTTCTTACGCGAACAACAGAGGCAAAAAAAAAAACTAACACTCGGGAACTCGAGAAGAGAAGAGAAGAGAAGAGAAGAGGAGCTCGATTCTACTGCAATTCGGTCGAAAAAAAAGGGCATCATCATCTCACTACCACCGCACGGTATATTATCGCCGTCTCCTTAGATTTTGTTCAATTAGGACTTTAATGTTTACTAATTTTCAATCATTTTCGAATTAGGGTATTCTTTGAATATTGAATATTTTGTTTAATGGAAATGAGATATGTTGATGTAATTGTTGAATATGTTTGTATGTTAAATTGATGGGTTATTTGAAATGTGATTAGGTTGTGTAGTTTGTTTGAGAATATATGACTTCAAGGTGTTCGATAAAATGCCTCAAAGGGGTTCTTTAGTTTGAGCTTCTTTGCTTGTGTTATTGGTTATGTTGTTACATATTTGTGAATTTGGGATGATTGTGATGAAGTGAAGAGGTGTTGAACATGGATATGTGAAATTGTTGTGTGAACTTTTAATATGTTAAATTGTTGTTTTAATGTTATTAGCATCTATTGTTCTTGATCAATATTACATAATATTTTTTCCTATTGTTTGTAGATAAATGGCTTCGTCGTCATCCTCACAGCCTCAGCAGTACAATGTGCATCCCGGTCCGAGGGATGAGAGCCTTCTATATCTCCAGTACAAACATCGGGCAGAGGCGGTATTTCATGATGTGCCGGGAGCTCGTGACAAGACGCTCGGAAACCGTCGTTTTGACACTCAGTTCTGGAAGGCAGTGCCAAACCAGACACTGTCGGTTTGGAGGGCCATCGACCGGACTGGTTTCGGCCCCATGTTTCGAATGGGTCGAGTCCAAGCCGACAACGCCCTCCTCACTGCTCTCGTGGAGAGGTGGCGCCCAGAGACGAATACGTTCCATTTCGATTTCGGCGAGGCCACCATGACGCTCCAGGACGTACAAGTCCTATTCGGTCTGCCAATCAATGGAGCTGCTGTTGTGGGAGTGACTGTAGAGCTATCACCCTTACAGTGGCGAGAGAAGTGCAAGAACTTGCTAGGGTTTGAGCCCTACGTTCAGGTATATTTTTTCATAATTTTTTTTTAAAAATATATGTCAACTAAATATATCATTTTTAATATGTAAAAACTACTCTCAGGATCCTCCCACCACCGAGGAAGAGCAAGCGGCACAGGACCCTAGCTCGTGGGAAATTGCTGGCCAGTGGTTGGATATTGGGCCTTTGGAGCGCGCTTGCAACACTGAGTTGCTAGAAGGTCTACCAGATATCGTGTATGAGCGGAGGGCGAGGGCCCTTATCTTGTGGTGCATTGGGTCATTCATCTTCCCCGACAACCGGGCGGATGGCGTCGCACTTTACTGGCTCCAGCTGCTCGAGGACTTCGATGGTATTCAGGGGTACAGCTGGGGTTCAGCGCTCTTAGCAGGAGTATACAGAGCGTTGGCGATCTCGTACGAGGCCAATCAGAAGTGGTTGACGAACTGTGTTCAATTGATCCAGGTAAATTTATTTAATTATTATTTGAAAATTTAATATTTTATTTTTCTTACTTCGACTAATACCTAATAACAAAATTAATGTCCACTTGTGTAGGTTTGGGCATGGGAGCATATCCCTCGTATTCGCCCAACGATGAAGAAAAAAAGTTTGTTTTATACTGTGTCTGGTTGTCCATTGGGAGGGAGGTAATCACTTTTATTTTTATTTAATCCGTACATTATTTTCATTATCAAATTTTATGATTACAAACTTTTTTTTTCTGTGATTTTTAAGGTGGGTGGGACCGAGATATAAGTCAAACATAGCCACTACACTGTCCGCCTACCGGGATCAGCTTACAGGGCTAAGAGAGGATCAGGTAATGTTTTTAATTCAATTAGTTTATTTCTTTTTACCGTTCTTATTTTTCTGTGATTTATCTTTGTTTTTTTTTTTATTTAATTTTCTTAATAACTTAATTACTAATCCAATTGTTGTTTTTT